TCACCAATGCCATCGACTATCCGTTTGAAGATCTGCTGACCTGGCCCACGGAAGCAGCCGCCTTTAATCTCCAATCCGGCTAATGGCAAACACAATGGGCCCAGGTGAAAGACACTTCCGCGTCGGTCTTTTTGTGGCTCGTTGTGGGTGGCAACCACTGCCACCAAAGCCACAGTCACCATTAGCACCACCATCATCATCTCAACCACTTCACGCACCACCACAAACATAGGCGCCTCCAAGTATTACTTGTATTTATATCAGCTAATTTGTAATATTTTATTGACTCTGGCCTGGAAAACGCTTTGAACTCGCCTCGCGATTCGGATCCCCACCCGGTGTTCTGGAGCTCTGAAATTTATGAATGTAGAGCCCGAATACCTAGCTCATAAATTGTTCGAAATTATGCGTAAATAAAGCAAAACCGTTTGATGTTGGCCGGTTCTTGTGGCTCGGAGTAGCCCAAAAATTTTCGGTTGGATGGAGAGTGTAGTGGGGTCATAGGGTAACCTAAATCATATTTGCTATTTCCTCAGGAATCGAAATAAAATGCTCATAAATAAAACTCGGGAAGGATATATCCATCAGTGGGAACCGATTTATTTTTGGTTTTGTTTAAATTCATTACATTTGGTCAATGCCAGCAGGGGTTGGTAAAACAATTAAAAGCATTATCGATACTGTCGATGGTCGAACAATTTAGTTTGAGCCCACAATCGACACTATGGCACCAAAACATAAATTGGTTTTTTGTTCTGCATATTTATGGTATTTTTTAAAAATATTTTGACAGCATTATGGAATATTTCTGGGATCTTGCTGAAATTTTCTACATTCAGGATACTCTTTTCTTCCAAAAAGTTTAAAGCGGGTTACGTTAAAAAGTTAAAAAGAAAACTTTGTGAGACAGTTGACCTGCAGATCATGGCGATCAATAAATGAATTCATTACTTTTTGTTTTGCTAATCAGCATCAAAAACGAAAAATGATTTGGATTTATTTTTATTATATGTTGTTTGTTTTTTTCTAATGCTGAACAATTTTCGATAATGTCACAGGTCATCATCGATAGTGACCACTATCAAAGCTTTTCCAGTCCCAATCCTTGCAACGCAGAATAGAAGAAATTTCCTTAAAAATGTGTAAATATATTTTTACAGTACATTACATTAACTAAATATGATACCCCTAAGAATGACAAATTAAAGACCATAATAATAGCTTTCCATCTATATATAAAATATTCTACTCCGACAATTGAAGCAGATTTTCTATACTAAGATGTTTGTGTTTTGATATTTAAGTCTACTTTAAGTCGTTCTTTTGGAAGCCTGTTTTAATAATATAATGGTTATGTTAGGAATATGCAAACATTTTGCATAATATTTTTCTGTTCAACCTTTTTGCGGCATCTAAAAACAAAGCTTCGGTTTTTATTATTTTTTTTTTTGTAATTTATCAGTCATCAATTATCACATAATCTGAGAGATTTCACTTGCAAAATATTTTTGTGTCCCTAGTACATTTGTTAACTTTCTTTTCGTATCTAAACCCAAAAAAAATGTTAAGTCTTCACTTCACAAACTGTCAGTCTAAGCAATTTAAATAACCGCAAGCCCTTAACAAGCAAAATTTAATAAACAGAAGTACACGAAATGAACGAAACACGTGGTTATAGCAAAGAGTTTGGGGTGCGTTGGTTATCAGAACATTCAGATGATGACTATCTACCAACATACAGTGCAGGATCCACCCATGATGGCGGACTGTCACGGAGGACCGACTCCAAAGATCATACTCAGATTACCTTAGAGGGCAAAGATGCAATATCTGAAAAGGTAGAAAATCAGGAGCCCAAAAACACGTTTTGGATCTGCGTAAGCGATTATGAATTGGACAGGGCTTATATTGTATATCGATTCTTCCACGATATCGGTAACATTGTTGCAAAAAACTTTACCCAAACAAACCGAATGTATCTGAAGTACTTCAGCATGGTGGACTGCCAAATAGCACTGAGTTATAATGGCCAAAAGATTGGATATGGCGGCGATATACGGGTGCAAGTCAAGGTAGAGAATCCCGTGACGGAAAATGTCCTTATTGAAGCTCTGGAGCATTGTTCTGAGGACGATGAAATGCGCCATGATAATGTCACAACAAGTACGATGACCGTAACCATCGAAGTAGAGGATGTTGACGACTCCAACGAGGTAGCTTCACATCATTTGGAGATGGGACAGTCTGAGGAAGAACTGGAAATTACACACAAAAAAGTCAGCTTGGTGCAATGGTTCAAGGAAAAGCTATCCTATGTGTTCTATTTTTATTAGATTTTCTGTTATTTTCCTTTTCCAATACTGTATGTGTTGGCAAAAAAACTTCTAAGACAAAGCGAACTTGAAGAAAAGGATCTTAATATTAATAAATAAAAAGTTGTACAACATTTTAAAAAATAAACATTAAAAAATCAGATCCAGGGACCTATATATATAAAAGTATTTCTTTTTAGAAAATATTATTTAATATTTTATAACAGTGAAATGTGAGTTTTAAAAGATAGATTCTTTTTATTAATAATAAAAGTCATACAAAAAGAAATGGCTAAATATTATTTTATATGTTTGGGGCACAAACAAATGCAAAATATTAAATCAGATAAATGTGTGCTTTATAATTGGAATAGTTTATTCTGATCCAACTATCAGAGCAAGCCAAATAATTAATTCTTTTTCGTTTAATGACAGCTATTTTCTAAAGCACAAATAAATGTGAAACAATATTAAATGGTTACCTTCATTCAGGACCTCATCAAAACTTGTTCGAATCCAATTACCCGCACAGCGGATACAACTTAAGTCAGATGCCCGACTGCGTTTGAAATACTTTTGCTAATTATTTGAATACTTTTGTTGGCCTAATCAAGGGCACACAATCATCCAATAACAATGGTCAGTGGTGATAAAATTAAATTCGCATTGTTCGCAAATGCATTTCTGGCAGGCACCGCGAACTCGGACCCTGGGTGCCATTATAGAATTTTTAATTACAATAAATCAATTTAAATAAAATGTAATTTTTCAATTTTATCAAATTGTCATTATGCGTAATTAATTCCTATGCACAAATGCGTTTTAGTGCAGCGAAACAACGCGCAGCACGCCCAGAGTGGCGCCATCTATGTTGCACCAGATAGCCGCCCCCGATTTTTCGCGTTTTCGGGTGTGAGTTGCAATGTGGCGGTGTTTGTGCATTTGTTTTGTCAAAAATAATGCTGCTTAATTATTATATTTGTAATTTATTTGCCCCGCAGTTATCGGATCCAAATGCTAAAAAGTATGCGCGGTGCTTTAATGCCACATTAATCCCGCACAACAAAAACACCAACCAGATAACCAGCTACAAGAGCAACAAAAACTACAACGACGCCACAACAAACGCACTCAAAATGCGAATGACAGTAACAAACAACAAAAGCAATTCAAATGCAGCGCATAGAATGCATAATTAATTTTTATTTTGATGACAACGTCAACGCACCATCACCATCACCATCCCCCAACCGCCCCCAGCACCCACTTTTCCCAAAAGAGCACTCCGTGGTGTGCTCTTTGGCATGTCCACTGCAATTATATTGGATTGGATTTATATAGGTATTTGCATGTACAAAAACGCCCATATAGTTATGTAAAATATCAGGTCTGCCACTGCACGAGACATGAAAATGAGCGACAATTCGATCGAATGGGAATTAGGAGGTCCCACTGTGGTATCGCAAGTCGATGTAAAGTCATAAATTATTAACTGGCATCAGTTGGTGTCCAAAAACAAACTTAAAAATTGTTTTTAATATTTAAATATTTGTTCATAACAATAGTTTAGTCGTAACCGAAAGAAAAAAAACCCAAATTAAAAAATTGTTTTGTGTGTTTTAGTCAATTAATGAAATCCAACATTTTGTTCTGAAAATGTATAACTGTATTTAAATTTTGTAAAAAATATATGATATAGCTACTTTCTAAATCTGAATCGAACTTTTCAGTTTTATTTTGTAAGCCTTTTTTAAGTCGGATGTATTTAAGCGCTAAAATGGATAATTTGTTAAATAAATTGCTAGATTTTTAAGCAAACCATTCAAATATTTGGTCGTTTGTATTTGTAAACTGCCTATTTGCATACGATGATAAATAAAAATGGGAAATAAAACTCTTTTGTTATGCCTTTCCATAATCGCTTTTGTTTTGTTAGTACGTCGGTAGATACAAATCCGTTTTATTTGTTTTTTCAAAAATGTTGTTTAGTTTTTATGAATTCTGCTGGTCATTTTTTACACCCCACGGCGCATTTGGCGGCTGTCGCCAATTATCCCAAACGCCCGGAACACATTTCCCCTCAAATTTTCACTCCACCCCCAGCAGAATGTGAATGCAAATCCTCTAAAATTATTGCGTTCATTAAATTTTAAACAAAGGTGATTAGATTTTATAATTTAAATGGACAAACGCACACATTTACATGGCTAAGCCAAGCAGAAAAGGTTTAACAGTACAGTTGTGCTCATTATTTATTTAAAACAATTGCAAAAATTATTTTGGAATGGTATTTAGTTATTTCCTTATTTATTAGTGGCTTTATTTTATTTTCTCCTTTTTATTTTGGCACTGGCGCTATCGAAATGTGGGATCAACAATTGCCAGTAAATTTGAGTTTATTTATTCTTTATTTTACTTATTCATTTTTGAATTTCCTAATCATTTTTGGTCGTTTTAATTAATTTCTTTTATAGAGTACAGGTATGAAAATAAATTTCAAAAACAATTGCAATTGTTACCAGCTTTGTTTGATATTATTTATTCAGTACCAGCATAGTTTTAATGATATACCACTTAATTGGAAACTACTAAAACAATTACGTAGCTCTTTTATGCTCACAAAGTAGTTCTACCTAACTGTTCTATTTCGGCCGTAACAGTAGGCCGTAGAACTGATGTATTTAGAGCATATTTAACGTATTTGTTCACAATCAATATAGGCCAAGACGTTGACAAACAATAGGTAACATTAGCAAGATGTTTCTGCGAATGCGGGTATTGATGCTCCTCACCGGGGTGTTTTGTATGCTATACTTTGGCCTTCAGCCCCTAACGGAGTTGTATGAAGCCAAGACTATCGTTGTGCCCCCCGAAGAAATCGTCTTTATCAACACCTCCGAATGCCATGTGACTGGACCTCGAAGACCAGCTCCATTCTTCACGGCGATTGAGCCCATCAACAAACTGCGGTGCCGTTTGCCCCAGTTGATGATTGCGATATCCAAAGGTGGCAGTAACGTTCTGGTGGCCAAAGAAGCTCCAGAGGACTTGCAGTGCAGATATTGGCTAAAGACTGACGGGGATTTCCTGCCCAGCAAGTATGTGGCGGATGGGCTTTTCGATCTGAAACATGGCGCGAGGAAAGAAGTTACAGTCGGTATGGGAAAGCAGATAGTACGAGTCAAGTGCTCCACCAAATTGAATGAAACCAAGTATCATGATGTTCACTACTTCTTGCCACCGCCTGATCCGCATTCGAAACCGTTGACAAGTCCGGATAAATTGTCTGTGATGGTGCTGGGCATCGACTCAGTTTCCCACATGCACTTCATGCGCTACTTCCCCCTCGTGAAGGGCTTTCTGGAAGGTCTGCCGCACACCAAGTTCTTCGGCTACAGTCGAGTGGGTCTGGATGCTCATGCCAACATAGTGCCACTTTTGAGCGGTCTGAGTAGCCTAGAGCTGCAGCAGAATGAGGGAGCTTGGCTGTTCCGGGACTTCAATGCTGGCGGCTACAGCACTGCCTATGGCGAAGATAGTGCCAATGTCATACTACCCAGACAAGTCACCGACTTTGATTTAACTCCTGTGATGGCCGAGATGGATACTCACACGCGCTATAGCATCGACTTGAAGGAGATGATACACTGCACTGCCGGACGCAGTTACAAGGATGTCCTGTGGGATTATATTGGCAAACTAGTGCCTCATATGCAACGAAGTCCGTTCTTCTCGTTCTTCTGGCAATCGCAGGGTGTCGAGGAGTACTACGAATACGCCAGCCACCTGGATCTGTCCTATATGATGCTGCTGAAGAGTCTGCTAGACGCCGATATCCTGAACAATACCCTGCTTCTACTGATGTCCGACCACGGACTGCGCGCCGGCAACTACCGCATGAGCTTTCAGGGCATGCGGGAGGAGTCACAGCCCCTGCTGGTGGCCATTTACCCCGAGTGGCTGAAGGAGAAGTACCCCCTGGCCATGGAGAACTTGGAGCAGAACGCCCATAGCCTCATCACTCCGTACGATCTGCACGCCACCCTGAGGGATGTGCTTAGTATGGAGCAGCTGCAGGATGGCCACATAGAGGTACGCAACAATAGTCTGTGGTCGTCTTCCCCCAAAAAGATGCCTCGCGGCGTGAGTCTCTTTCTCCGCGTTCCAGGTCACAGGACCTGCGACTTGGCACACATCCCCTCCCTCTTTTGCTTCTGCCGCGAACTCACCGAAGTGCCCACGGACGACGGTCTGGTCCTTCGGTGCAGTCGTTTCCTGGTGGAGTCCATCAACAAGCTGATCAAGCCCCTCGGACAGTGCCGGCAGCTGAAGCTGAAAATGGTCCTGCTGGCCCACTTCCTGGACTTTGGCGAGGACTCCTTCGTCTACGAGTTGCGGCTGAGGGTGCGAACGGAACCCGGAGGCGGGGAATTCGAGGCCACCGTCCGTCTGTCGGACGTCCTTCTGTTGACCAGCCCCATCAGTCGGATCAACCATTATCTGGGCCAGTCCCACTGCCTCAGCGACCCCGATTTCAAAATATTTTGCTTCTGCGTTTAAGGTGTTTTGATGATGTTGGGCTTAAAAGAAATAAATTCACGTTACTTTGGTGAAACTGAACCTGGTGTGTTGAAATGAATAATAATTTAAACAAGAATGGAATAGAACTTTAAATATTTCCAGTGATGCAATTTGGTGTTTTACAACTATGCCTCACGAAACAATTCTATGCCGGGGAATACCAATTATTTTAAACTTATTCCATTTAGAAACAAGAAAAGAGGCAATGTTCGGAAAGCAGAAGGTTATATAACCTTGCAGCTTTTGCAAATATTAAATATTCTTTATAGCATCGAAATTTTGAATTATACAAGTATATGTTTAAAAACAATGGAGCATTGATGATTTTCAGCTCAATTATTTGATTGTTCCCATGACAGCGTTTTTCGATTTTAATTTTTATACCCTTGCAGAGGGTATTATAATTTCAGTCAGAAGTTTGCAACGCAGTGAAGGAGACGTTTCCGACCCTATAAAGTATATATATTCTTGATCAGCATCACTAGTAGAGTCGATCTAGCCATGTCCGTCTGTCCGTCCGTCTGTCCGTCCGTCTGTCCGTCTGTCCGTCTGTCCGTCCGTTTATATGCAAACTAGTCTCTCAGTTTTAAAGCTATCTGCATGAAACTTTCCCAAAAGTTGTCTTTCTATTGCAGGTAGTATATAAGTCGGAACGAGCCGGATCGGACGACTATAGCATATAGCTCCCATAGGAACAATCAGAAAAATAATTTAAAAAAAATTATAACTTTGCTGTTTTTTAATTTTTTGTTTAGTTCTTCGACATATAGCAATGGTTAAATATTTCAGAATTATGGTTTAAATTTCATAAAAATCGGACGACTATAGCATATAGCTCCCATAGGAACAATCGGAAAAATAATTGAAAAAAAATTATAAATTTGTTGTTTTTTAAATTTTTGTTTTGTTCTTCGACATAAAGCAATGGTTAAATATTTCAGAATTATGGTTAAAATTTCATCAAAATCGGACGACTATAGCATATAGCTCCCATAGGAACAATCGGAAAAATAATTAAAAAAAAATTATAACTTTGCTGTTTTTTAATTTTTTTTAGCAATGGTTAAATATTTCAGAATTATGAATAAAATTTCATCAAAATCGGACGATTATAGCATACAGCTCCCATAGGAACAATCGGAAAAATAATTGAAAAAAATTATAACTTAGCTGTTTTTTAATTTTTTTTTTAGTTCTTCGACATATTGCAATGGTTAAATATTTCAGAATTATGGTTTAAATTTCATCAAAATCGGACGACTATATCATATAGCTCCCATACAAATAATAAAAATATATAAAAGAACAATCAAATAATTAAGCTGCAAATCGTCATAGCTTCAATGTTTTTAAACATATACGCAAGTAAATCATAATTTTAATGTTTTCAAAAATATTTAATTCTTGCGATAGCTGCAAGGGTATATGAACTTCGGCTTGCCGAAGTTTGCTTTCTTTCTTGTTTTTTTTTTTTTTATATTTTTAATGTTTTTAATATTTAAATTGAACCGTAATTCTGAAATATTTAACCATTATTATATATCAGAGAACTAAAAGAAACAAATTAAAAAACAGCAAAGTTATAATTTTTTTTGCATTTATTTTTCCGGTTTTTCCTATGATAGCTATATGCAATAGAAAGACAGCTTTTGGGAAAGTTTCTTGCAGATAGCCTTAAAACTAAGAGACTAGTTTGTGTAGAAATGGACGGACGGACAGATGGACATGGTAAGATCGCTTCTCTAGTAACGCTGATCAAGAATATATATGCTTTTAGGGTCGTAAATGTCTTCTTCACTGCTTTGCAAACTACTGACTGAAATTATAATTCCCTCTGCAAGAGTAAAAAAGAATCCAATATGAAAATCCTTTTCATTAATCAAATGGTAAGCTCAAAGACAATCAGCTCTAGCCCTTTGGGCACACAGCGGATAATTTGCGTCAAACTGTCTGTTTATTTGAAGAGCCAGTGGCTCCACAGAGTGCGTATCGCTGAGCGACGTGCAATTGAATTAAAATTAAAATATATATAAATGCCACAGCGGAACGGAAATACGTAATAATTTGCAATTTATTTGCAGTGGGTGCAGCACCTACTCACGTGCTGGATTTGAATGAGGTTCGATACAGGAGTTATAAATTTTAAAAAATAATTAAAAACCATTTGTGTGGCAAGTCGCTTTCAATTACTGAAAAATGTCCTAAAATGAACGCATTTTCCACTGATTGTTGGCGATTGTTGTCAGGCCTCAGGTTGCGACATGTCCAAAACCTCCTCCGTTGACAGCGGCGCAATGAGTAAATTGAAATGTGCCGTCCACTGGACGTGATCGCCACCCTCCCCATGACAATACCAAAAAGTGCGTGACTGTTTCAGTTTCAGTTGCTTTATATGTATATTTGTGCTGGTACAAAAAATGTTAAGCCACGAACGGTTGCAGTTGCAGACGACAATTGACAGCTGCATTTTGAAGCTTTTATTTTGTCAAGTGAAAATTCAACACGATTAATTTCAACGGACTGCGAAAGACGATTATGACCGTTTATACTGACTTTTTTTCGCTCATCTCGGGGTGTCACCAAATCTCGCACAACTTAATTCTGTCCAAACATGATTTTTTGTTTTCTCCTCAAAATACTTGTTAAAGTTCAAAATATATAAAGCTATAAAGAGAGCTATTTAAGAAAAAAAAGCCCTTAATGATTTAAAAGTAATTGAAAAATGTTTGGTTAATAAACTATGTTGCTTCATTATACTGCGTAATCAAAAGAACAATCTATAAAAGTCGGATTTTCCAAACACTCGTTTTTAAAGTCCGTGCTCACCAGGATTTATAACTAACTTGATTGTTCCGCGGGGGAAGGTTTTATACATTCTTAAGCTACTACAAATATTTTTGAGACTCGATTAAAATAAAAGAATAAAATAAAATGCTTCGTCATTTATATTTTGATTGATATATGGGATAAAAACTACAGCATATTAATTAAGCACTACTTTAAAATAAGATTTCAAACAGTGTTGGTTACTTAACAAATTTCTTTTAATATCGCGGTGGTTGTTGTTTTCAAATTTTAAATTGTAGATAAATTTTTTTTGATATATATATATATATATCCGTGGCACCAATGATTTCCAATACAATAAGAGTTCAAACTGAAGTCCAATTTAAAACGTCCTTATCAAACACCCATATCGATTAGATTTCTAGTTGGGACGACAACATTCACTCCGTTTGGGAGCATAAATCTCAAATTGGTCAAACAGGTAATCACTCAAATCGCTCTGATTTGGTTCGAATTGGTAACGGTCATAAATAAACTAGTTGGGTGCGGACGGCTGGAAAGGCACAGCTCATAAATTAATTCAATCAATGTCAAAACGAAATTGATATTTTCACATCCAGAGAACCGAAGGTGATCTTATCGCTAATTAATGTGTACGTCCATGCTCAAAGAGTGGGTGCTCATAATGGGGTTTGTAATCGATATCGAGCTGGGGATGGCACACATATTAAAGGTTATAAATTTACATGAACTAGTTTTTTTATTCATTGGCAATATGGTAAAAAAAAAACGTTGATTATAAGCTATTAGTTATTGTATGCCATTATTAAATTATAGGAAAAAGCTGTGACCGTAATACGATGCGAATACCTAAATGAATCAACCGATTGAGGATATATAATTTAATTATATAATTTATTTTTAAAATTGCTGCTTTTATTGTTTTGTTGTAAACTTAAAATGAGCAGTCCAGCTTGAACCTTGATAAAATTAAATACTACCCTTCTTTCTCCTAATACACACACAAAAGATATTAACATCCCACTTAAACACCTAAGCTCGCATATATCCTGAGATAACTCAGTCACTTGCTGTGATGAATTCATAGCCGACGAAGTCAATCAATCGCTCATCTGTCAAATGACAAATGATTTTTAAAATCACTTCGTCGGAGCCTTGCGATCCAAACTGAAAGTCAAACCACTTGAAAGGAAAGTGGAGAAAAAATATTCATAGAACACGGAGAGCGGAAACAGACACTTTAAATGCTTGCGATATTGTCAATCAAAATTCAATCGAAGCCATGAATCATGCCAAGCAGAGGAGTCGGTGAGTCGGTGAGTCGGTGAATCTGAATGTGAATGGTTATGCTGATGGCTTCGAGAGCAACTCTGACTCACTCGATTGACGGATAGATATAGATGGATAGCTGAATGCAATGACACTCCCGAGCAAAAAATAACACCACATCACGATAGGAGAAAGCTGAAATGGAATCAGTCAACAGGAGGATGCGTGTTGAAGGATGGCAGAATGGATGGCACTGGATGTGTGACAAGTGGAGGAGGCGAAGCATTTAGCATTGGCATCCTGCCGCACAAGGAATTCCCTGCCCCTCCCTGCCCGCCTCCCCGAAGTCGAATTCGGAGTCGGAGTCGAAGTCCTCCGCTCGGGTCGCCGTCATCAGTCAACGTCAGCGTGATAGTTTTGACATTTTTATGAGCAAATGATAAGTCTCACTCTGATGACTGCCTGTCTGTGCGATGGCCAATGTTTGGCACTTGCCAGCCACAAAATATTTGCGAGCAGCCATCCGCACAGCCGGGAATTTTTGTGTGAGCCATAGGAACTCTTTCGTGGGTGCCAGTATTTATGACCTGCGCCTGGCACTCCGGCTCCCACTTATCGCACACGATGTGTACATTTTTAAATTTAACACTGACAGAGTTAACAAGCATGTGGTCCTCCTATCGTCGTCAATTCGGGAATGGCAATCAATCAAAGCGATTTCATAGCCCCCACACGTCACACTCACCCACAGTCGTTAAGGTTTCGCCGGATCGTTCACGTGTTTAATGACTGACTTTGACAACGGATCCATAAACCCGATAGCGAGAGGGGCAAGAGCAGTTTAATATTACTAAAGGCTTTTAGTTGAGAACAAAAAAATTTGTTCTTAAAAGTCTACATCAAGAAAGGATTTCGATATTTAACTGCAGATTTTTCTTGAGATCAGAAGTGTTTGTCATTGATTTAAATGCTGCCCGAGTAAAAAACGAGATATTAATTTATTTCTATAAGTGTAGGTACATTTAGAATAAATAATATGGATGAGAATTTAGTTTTGGTTCGATGTTGTTTGTGGAAAATTGTGTAATATAATTAATTAAAAATAAAACAAACAAGAAAGACAGCAAACTTCGGCAAGCCGAAGTTCATATACCCTTGCAGCTATCGCAAGAATTAAATATTTTTGAAAACATTAAAATTATGATTTACTTGCGTATATGTTTAAAAACATTGAAGCTATGACGATTTGCAGCTTAATTATTTGATTGTTCTATTATATATTTTTATTATTTGTATGGGAGCTATATGATATAGTCGTCCGATTTTGATGAAATTGTAACCATAATTCTGAAATATTTAACCATTGCTATATGTCGAAGAACTAAACAAAAAATTAAAAAACAGCAAAGTTATAATTATTTTCAATTATTTTTCCGATTGTTCCTATGGGAGCTCTATGCTATAGTCGTCCGATTTTGATGAAATTTTAACCATAATTCTGAAATATTTAACCATTGCTATATGTCGAAGAACTAAACAAAAAATTAAAAAACAGCAAAGTTATAATTTTTTTTCAATTATTTTTCCGATTGTTCCTATGGGAGCTATATGCTATAGTCGTCCGATTTTGATGTAATTTAAACCATAATTCTGAATTATTTAACCATTGCTATATGTCGAAGAACTAAACAATTATTTAAAAACAGCAAAGTTATAATTTTTTTTCATTTATTTTTCCGATTGTTCCTATGGGAGCTATATGCTATAGTCGTCCGATCCGGCTCGTTCCGACTTATATACTACCTGCAATAGAAAGACAACTTTTGGGAAAGTTTCATGCAGATAGCTTTAAAACAGAGAGACTAGTTTGCATATAAACGGACGGACAGACGGACAGATTGACAGACGGACAGACGGACGGACAGACGGACATGGCTAGATCGACTCTACTAGTGATGCTGATCAAGAATATATATACTTTATAGGGTCGGAAACGTTTCCTTCACTGCGTTGCAAACTTCTGACTGAAATTATAATACCCTCTGCAAGGGTATAAAAACAGATTTGGTAAAAAATCTTTCAGATAGAGAAATGAACAAACAAAATAATTGTGGTGTGTTTTTTGTTTTTTTAGCCGAACAAAATTAATTAACTATCGAACTAATTTTTTATACTAGTGTAATTTCTAAAGTCTTAAAGCTGCCAGTGACGTATACATTTTGGAATAAGCTTGATTACCAATTGTAAAAATAATCGAAAGCAATTTCCATTTATCTACCTTAGACCACAATGGCAAAGCATTTCGGTCATAAATTTCCCAAAATTGATTTCCTGATATCATCTATATAAATAATATTTAAAAGCAAAAAAAATGTACAACAAAAATAATTCGGGGTTGCAAAACGCGACAGATTCTGACCATTAATAATTGTGTACAATTGTCAAAAATTCGTGCGTTTTGCTTAATGTGAATTGTTTTGCAATTGCGAAAATTCATTTTTGCCTACTAATATTGACTTCCGTTTCCGTTGCATGAGTCCACAGTATGCTTCCGCCAGTCTTTCACCTCTCTCACCCATTTTTATGTTTGGCGTCATTCGAAACTTTTTTGCACCCCTTTCCACGCCGTCAAATGCCTGGGAAATTTGTTATCGTCGCAATTACAACAAAATCAATTTTCCATGAAATGCCACAACAGACAAAAGGCAACAAACAGAAAAAAGGAAATTTACAAATCAGACAAATAAATTTACAAATAAATACCCATACGCAAAATATTTGACATTTATTAATTAAAAATGTGAGAAAATGTATATTAATTTTATTCAAATTGTCAACGGCAACAAAAGGAAGCTAATTTCAATTTATTTAATTTGTCCCATTCAGGTTTGTCATCTGCATGTTTTATGCGCCAAAGTGGCATAGATAAAAATTGGCACTCTAAAACAATAAATACCATAAAGTGTGTGGATGTTGAATTTATAGGCATAATATTTTTCCATGGTTTTGATTTAGGTCGAAATTCTTAAAAAAAATTTACTTTGTTTAATTATGTAGCAATTATTTAAAATGACGCATTAATCAGTTTTTAAGCTAATAGTATAAACAATTTTTGTAATTTTATTTACGAACAATGTGGACTAAAAATTTGTTTTTTGTGTTTTCCTATCGAACCTATTATCTTTTTATACACCTTAAGTGTATAAAAAGACAAAATGATCAGTTCGACAAATAAAGTCAATCTAAACACTAAGATACCTGCTTCTTGCATTGGATAAAATGTGTTCTCAATAAAATAACTACAACCAAGAGTAATTAGCTCGGGATTAAAGCAGTGTTTCGGAACCGTCCTTAGATAACTCATATAGGATCGGGGGCCTTCCAATCCACAGCATTGTAGCTGAAAGATCGTAAAAGCTTTAAAAAAATGTATTAATTTAAAATAAGCATCATACCGTCTTTTCAAGAACAGACATATCCGTCGCATTGTAATTAAAGTTGTTCAGCCACTTTTGTGATATCCCATCCATGTATAATTCATAGTTTTTTTTCAGGAGCTGTAGTCGCTGTGAAAATGTGAAATACGTCCAATTTAGGACGTACACTAGCACCGGGATATACTAATTAAAAGTCTAGCCAGTTTTATGACGTTTTTACTTACCCCTACAACAATCCAATCAGCAGTCAAAGAAAGAAAGCTAATGCTAACCCAAAAAAGGATTTTAATAATGAAAATGGTACTTGTCAGACCACAAAAATAGCTAATTACATCAGTAGTGATTTTAAAGCTACTGTATCTAAAGGAAAAATATATAATTATTCGCAGTAATATAGCCAAATCCAGCTGAAAATATAGTTAGTTGTTAGGACTCATAAGATTAACTGATTTTCAATATCTACCCCAAGTAGTAAAACAACCAGCTTCTTTGTTTTATTTCCCACCATTTTACAGATAATCTTAAAATTAATTCCTTTTTTTTTTACAAAAACTGACAGATTATGCCAAGCCTCCAAAAATGTAAGCTTTATTTTTTTTATCAACAGGTAACAAACGCCTATCAAATCATTTTCAGGTTTGTAAAACTGGTGTTGATTTGTTTAGGACAAATCTTTATTTGTATTGAGAATAAAAACAAATTTATTTGTCTTGAATTATGTATTCGAAATCAGGCTTGTTTTTAAATTTTTTCTATTCGAGCTTCCGTTCCTTTTTTCTGCGCAAAATTTCAATGTTGATTTATGGGATTTGCTATTTTTGACAGTTGTTGTTGCTACATGGAGTGGGTGTGTGTGGTTTGTTTGTCTGTTTGTATAAACAGGATTTTATAATCGGCTTTCTATATTAATTTTAATTTTATTTTCGGCATTTTATTATAATTACTCTTGATATATGTAAATGGTCATCGTTAGCAGAATTATCGTTTTGTTATATTTGCTGTGTTGTTGCTGCACTTGATGCCCACATGAATGTCCCTCAACTCGTTAGGGAATTTACTATTCATTTTTTGCGGAGGGGATTGTTGTTTGCCATAGCTCCCAGCGAAAAAAATTCTGCGGTTTTAAATGTTTTTAATTGTCGCTGCTAGTTCTGTTTTGTTGTTTCATAATCGCATGCTCTTTGTTGTACGCTAAATATGGAGGCAATTTAAAATGCAAAGCAAAAATGCTGTAATATTTTGGCAAAATATTTATAATATTTTAATGCTAATTTCAACAAATCCAAATGCATTTTCGGATTTCTGTTCGGGCGATTGCTAAGCACTTTTGTGTACTTTCGGCTCTTTGTATCTGTTTGTGATATTTTAATTTTACTGTCACATTTGATCATAAATTAAGCGATTAACAAATAAAACGCACCGTGGGTTATGGTTAACTAAATTGTATGCTGGTGCAGTTTTGTTTATCTCCCAACGTTGTGGGATCTGTGTTGAGCTCTATTGAAAGTCCCTGATTAATTAACAGAATTAAAATTGAACTGCTAGGTAGACCTAATAAAGTTTGTTATGCATAAAGCTATCGGATACTTTTCGTACTACTACTTTTCGTTTATTTTTGTTAGAGCTGTATTCCATTTACCAAAAGGCTTAAAATTTTATTAGATTATGTTCATTAGGGTGTAAAACATCGCTAGTGTGCACTAACGAAAGTTTTGGCTATCGGAAGTTATTCAACCTTTGAAAAAAGAGTACGAAATATCCAGAAAACAAATCAAAATTTGTAAACCATGGGAGTTTGCTAAATTGTTCGACTATCGATAGTGCCATCAAATGTTTTAGCAACCCTAGTTTTCAGTGTAAAGAAAACCTTTTCTCATCAAAGCAATCGGCGTTTGCTCTTCTTTATTTCTCATTTTTAGCAATTTGTTAAACAAATATTTCGTTTCACGTTTAAAAGTCCTAGTAGAAGCCATGTTCGATACAACTAAATACTTTCCACGTTCGATTGATTCGGATCACCCTTCCCAAGAGGAGCCCAGTGAGCCTCCACTTTTGGACATCCCGGTAACCTATGATATGGTTCACAATCTGGAAGGAAAGTTTTTGGATACAAGTGTCTTAGAAGAAGCGTCAGAAACTGATCAGGATATTGATACTGAGGATAAACAAAGCATAGAGACCGCTTTCACTACAACTCCCCAATTGATGATTATTTTTGCGGAAGGGGACATCAATAGTGCCCTGCACTTCCTAATTGAATCCGTCCATAATCCATTTGCCCCAAATGCAGTGGCTATGGTTCTGGTGGAAGAGAAAATTCGCGAGGAGATCGTCAAGAGAATTCGGCCAAAGCTACATCCCCTTTCTGAGTCGGTGGCCGAACATCCAAATTTTCTGGCAGCATTGGAAATGTGCGAGACCTCCAATCTGGACTGTATTAGAGCCGACATTACAGAGGTGGCCCCACCACTGGTCTCCCCGATTTTTGTTTGCGAATGCACCCATGATGTGCTTGGAGATTTTCCAACCGGAGTCATAACATTTCACACATTCCGCAACAGCCAGGAGGCCATCGACATTTGCCAGCGGGAAACCCTGCCCTTCGCATCCGTCTCAGTTTGGACCGAAACCCTGGACTGGTGTTACGAGCTGGCGGTGGCTCTCAGCTCTCCCACTTATTTTCTGAACTGCACAAACGTGGATTTGTCACCGATCTCCAAGCAGCAAAAGGCCAATCAAAATTACGTATTGATTGAAAACGGATTTCATTTCGAGACCCTGCACATCTACAACCAGTTTAAGTGCATTGTCTTTCCCATCGGCGAGTTAATTCTGCCAAGTCCCGAAGACCCGAAGGAGGCGCCAGAGCCCATCTCCTTTTTGGATTCTTAGGATTACAAAATCTTGTTCGTTTCCTCATCAATAACTTCACTTCCCAGCCAATTTTCGCTGCCAAAAATGTTTGCTCAATACAAATTGAAAGTTATTTTTGGGGGTTTTTATGATAATTGACATTGACGATACGATCGAATATGATGGCAGCTGTCAGCGGTAATAACCATAATTCTTTTATTTCGGATATCGATTTTTTGGGTCGCGTTAATGAACGCAGATTATGTAAATTCAGGTTGCAAAACAAGTCGACTGAAGCATGACTAATTTTGGCTTGGAACGAACTGTCACTTTATGTTTTTCAATTCTTGGTATATTAATGCTTTCACAAACTGGTTTAATCTCTTCTAACTATTTGATGGATTTCGCACTCTACCTTTAAATACCTCTTTGGTTTGGCTATAGGCGATCTTTACTGCCCATTTCCCAACCGTTAAAACCTTTAAGATGCTTGGGTGTATATATTTACGATCGCAAAGCATTCAGGAGTCACCACAAGCCGGACTTTTCGCCTCTGTCACATAAACAAATCTCTTTATGGGAGGCTGATGGGAGTGTGAGTGACGCCAACTCGTCGCTTTTTGGCACTTAAGGTGCGAGTCCAAAAATAAAGCCACGCTCATCAATGTGATTATCAGTTTTGGTATTTTTTCTGCCCTGGAATGAATTTTGCATAAATCTTCCACCGAATGTCTGGCCGAATATGGGGAGAGGGCTCATCAGGTGCAGTCTAACTGCAGTCACACCCTCCTGGCAGACGCAGACCCATCCTGCTTGGCCGTTGGGAAATTCATTATAAAATGCGGTTTGAATTATTTGTCAAAATGTCTGGTCCAGGACGCAGTGACATTGATGTTGACATTGACAGACAGACTGGGTCGAATGTTCCCGGCAGGCCAAGCCCAACTCACTTATTCGGTGCGACAAAATAAATGAAATTGTTAATGGCCAGTGAGTCACTTCTTCACCGAGTTGGTAGCGTCATCATCGGCTTCTGATGGCCAATACAGTCTTATTTAATATAATACTTTACTGGCCATTCGTCAGTTCATGGACAATAAATAGATAAGGTGCAATGCTATAAAAATTAAGAGTCGAGTTGATTCTCGCAATTAACTAAAAAATATATATCTAATCTAACAATTATAATAAACTTTTTTTGAACCAACAAACTTGTACATTGAATTCACTTTAAATTTACGTATTTGATTGTTGCTTACTTTATGTTACATGTACATGAACTGAGTTGTTGTTTTGCTTGCTGTAAATAAATTTAATGAAACATCGAAAATTGTAACCAATTTTTCTCCCACTTGTGCAATTATAATTCGCAACTGGAACCACTGTTCATAAATGTCACTAGCTGAAGGACGAGTACAAGCACACTTTCAGTTTTTACTACAAATGCGGTAAATTTCTCTTTTCTTTCACGTACAAATGCTCGCCTACTGCAGTCAGGGGTAAAAAGCTTTTTAAATAAAAATTTTGGTTGAATTCACTGATTATGGCAATTATTAGGTAGGGCATGACATTAAATTTACTTTTGATTACACTTATTTTTTAGTAAATTCCAATAATAATTTTCGGTTTAAGCTGTTTTTGCAGTATAATTTATTGATTAAATCAATTTATTTCTTCTGTGTTTTAAAAATACCCTTTTGTCCATTAAAGTTAAAGCAATGAAAAATGAATAGTGATCGTTTGTGGGTCCCATTACGTCTTTTAAAGATATAACTGCATGCATGCTTCCACATTCATTGCAAGTCACTGCTTGCCGAGTCTCGAGTTAACTGTCAGTTTCAATCGTGTCTGCAGAACTTGTCACTCATTCAATAGTTTTGAAAATTGCGAATGTCACTTACAAGCCAACAACAAGGGCCACCGCCTCTTGCAGCTTCCTTGTTCCATCTACAGACACATGTGAGTGAGTCTGTGAGTGAGCATCCTTGCCAAGGATGCGGACGGAGACAATGTTGCCGGAGACGAAGAAGGATACTGCCACGAAGACAAAGTCGGGCCAGGAGGATGACGCGGCAAGCAGACGCTGTGAATTAAAACAAGGCCAGGGAATAAAATAATAAAAGGACACAAAGACAAAAGCATAAGAAAACTTGAGCGTTCCCGCACTCTATCGGTCTCTCGTATTTGTGTGAGGTTGACCCATAATAGAGGAGGGTTTTGGGGCCTCCACTTAGGAAAAAAGGATTTAAAAAGTATAAGATCACTTAAAAAATGAAATAGATTGCCTTTCGGACTTTATAATTTGAGAAGAACCTAAGAAAATACGTTTTGTGAAATCTTAAGATCTGAGTTTGCGCAGCGTTCTCAAGAACGATAAAAATTACTAAAACTGGACTGAAACAATTAATCTGCTCATCTAAGATTCTTATTTAATAAATATTATATTTCCTATCAATTAATTTTGTGAGTCTTCTTTTTAATTGTAATTTTTTCACAGCGTGATAAAACATATGGTTTTAATAATAATCAAATAAACATAATATATTGCTGTAAATAAAAAATTAATAAAATGGTGTCGGTTTAAGGAACAAATTTTTTGTGTTGAAATATGAGCCAAATTGACAATTTTCAACCAATCAAAAAATTCGTAGGTTATTGTAGGGAAATTACATTCATGGTGATTAAGTTAGGAACCGATCAGT